TGTAACTATTCTGTAAGTGAATAGTTCTGTAATTATATCTTTTTCCCCTCAAGTTTCCTCCGTTGGTGCATTCTGACAAATTAACTCATGTTTATACTGCAATTTTGAAACCGGTAATGAGTTATGTATATTGATTGATGGGGAAGAAAAGAAGGCGGCTAACTTTCTCTCCAATGATGATTTTGAGCCACCACTCATCCCTCCCAAGACAATTCCTGACCCAGATGATAAGAAGCCCGAAGATTGGGATGAGAGGGCAAAAATTCCAGACCCAGATGCAAAGAAACCGGATGACTGGGATGAGGATGCTCCACTGGACATTGAAGATGAGGGTGCTGTGAAGCCTGAGGGATGGTTGGATGATGAGCCTGAGGAGCCGAAGATTGGAATGAGGAGGAGGATGGTGAATGGGAGGCTCCAAAGATTGATAACCCCAAATGTGAAGAGGCACCTGGATATGGGGAGTGGAAAAGGCCAATGAAAAGGAATCCTGCATACAAGGGGAAATGGCATGCTCCCTTTGTTGAAAATCCCAACTACCAGGGTATTTGGAAGCCCCCGCTAATTGGAAACCCTGAATACTTCAAGTTTGAGAAACCAAATTTTGAGCCGATTGCGGTTTCGACATTGAAATCTGGACAATGCAGGATGGTATACTGTTTGACAATCTTTTAATAGCTTCTGATGAAAAAGTTGCACAAACCTACCGAGAGACTACATGGAAGCAGAAATTTGAAGCAGCGAGAGAGAGATAGAATGCTGAGGAATCTGCCGTTTCAGATGGTCTTCAGGGAGTCCAGGTGCTCAGTCAAGACTGTCCTCTTTCTCATGGTTTCCACATTTTGCTTGCTGCTATTTCTAAATCTTAACTTGTTCTGGTTAATTGTTTCAGAAACTGGTGTTTGACTATCTTTACAAGATTGCGAATCTTCCCTTCTTGGGTGATCACAAGACCAAAGTTTTGGTTAGTGTTTATGAAGATATTGTTGTGTTTTTGGCAGCATGTTATATGCTTTGATGTTGCGATTGTCACTTAATTGAGCTTATTTCTTGCAGGATATTCTTGAGAAGGCTGAGAAGCAACCAAACCTTACAATTGGTATAGTTGCATCCATTGTAGTTGTTATCTTCACACTGTTGTTGAAGGTCATCTTTGGTGGGAAGAAGAAGCCTGTTAGTATTTGGAATCCTTTGGTTACATCATAAACATGTTTTGCTTCTCAAATCACTTCCGGGATATAATTCGCTTACCACGCCGTTTGCTTATTATTATTATTTTTTAATATTGATTGCAGGCTAAAGTTAGATCAGAGACAGAGAAAACATATACAGCTGAAACCTCAAATAACCAGGGAACTACTGAGGAGAAAGAAGACAAGAAAAAGGACACTACTGCTGCAGCTGCTCGTCGGAGGAACACCAGACGCGACAATTAGGGAATCTGTGTAGAAACAAATCCAACTACCAGATTAGAGTAATTGATGATACAAGAGGCGCATTGGCCGTTGATATAACTTTTGGTTGATTTATAGGCACAATTCTCCATCTTGAACTTTCCACTTTGTTCTCATTTTTGGTTTTTTTGCTTGGTAGGTGTGTTTTTTCAGTGTACTAGAGACTAGTATGTGACCAAATGTAGGATAATGGTGCAGCTTTCCACGTGAAAAGACTGATTTTGAAATTGAGGATTTTTTTTTTTCAAATATATGATTCGTTTAACAATTTTTAAACTGGGGGTATTTGTTTCAATTTACAAACGATCTTTACTTGTGTTTATATTGTAGCTATTGCTCAGAATGGGAGTCTAGATATGTTCCCCGACCTGAAAGGTTGTTTTCCCAATTCTCTCCACTTGAATTTTGAATCGCGTGATGACTCATAAATTTTAGAGGTGACGGGAACTATAGATGTGGACTCTTCAAGACAGTGGCAATCCTTGTTCTAGGAGTTCACGAAATTGGGTCCTGGTTTCCATTATTTGGTAGTTTCTTTTAAGATTTGTGTGAGTTGTGGTTCTTAAACCCAGTTTTAAAAGTGAAAATGCGTTTTTTGCTGGCCTGCCCACTTGGCGTGATCTTATTGGCTCATTAAACTCCACCCGGATCTGTTTTAGTTTGGGACTTACTTGGGCCATTGGGTTTGATCTAAGGCTAAGGATTGAAGTATAAATATTCCTTTTGGCTACTGTACCGTCATATTTTCTCTTTGGCTATTGGTTTACTAGTTTTTTCATCATCTCTAAGTGAGGCTATTTTATTGATTCTTTGAGGGTTTTACTTCCACCTCTTGAGCAGTATTAAATCTTGGTCCTGTGTTGAGTCTCACTTACTGAGCCTGTAATCTTGTGTATTGCTCAGTATTTTAGGTTTCATTTGGACCACAAATGAAACTGATAAATCTGTACTAGTTAGGATGTGAGGTTTCTGATTCATGTGTGGTATAGGTGATTTGGGAGATCCGTTTGTCGATCGATGATCATTTTGAAGTGTTCCTATCTGAGTCTTGGTTGTACAGACTTTTATCACTCACTCTTGAAGGTTCTTGCATAGTGACAGACTTGGTTTATCTCTGAGCCCCCAGATTAGGCTTTGTCGAACTGGGTAAATAGTTTGGTGTTGTTTTTACATTCTGCTGACTGTGTTTTTTGGGTCGATTCATTCTGTGCGCGTGGTATTTGATTGAGTTAATACCAACAACTTGTCTTAAAAGGTAACATTATTAAGAGAAATAATCAAAATCCTTGTAAGTTGGTCTATATTTCTATCTTTATTTCATGTAAGGTTTGTCCCTACGAGATGGTTGTTCATTTGAGCAACAAGTCTTGAAATTTGTGTGCTCATTTTTTGAGTTTTAATCGGATCGAATTGTTTATTGAAACTTAATGGGCTCTGATATCAAGTTAAGATTTGAGGTTTCATCTTAAAATGTCAACCATATTAA